GTTATTCATAGTTAACAAGGGTAAAAATGGAAAGACCATATAATAAAATGGAGTGCAATATCATTTTCAATGGTTACCTCTATAATTTTTCTCTATTTGCATGATTATGGAGGAAAAAATAGAGAAAATGGTTGAAAACCAAAATACTTTTTCCTCCATTTCCACCTCTATTTATAAAGGAATAGAGGAAATAGTAGAGGAACCCTTGGAGATGGTCTAACTCAAACACTGTGTGAACACTGTACTGTATTTCGATCAAAATTCTTTCTAAGATTTTACCATGTATGAATTAGAGTTGAATCTTGTGATAATTTTACTGCCTATAAAAGTAGAATACATATTATATGCTACGATTTATTAGAATTATTGGCGAAAACTTCCCGAGCATAGGCCATGACTACCTCAATGCAAATACTTATGATGTTGTACTTGCCCACGAATATGACAACTAAGCCAATGCTCACCAACCTTAGACCTTTCAACTTCTCATCAAAAATTACTTGTAACACATTCATATCATCCGACAATTTATCAGAAAACAAATTCTTCAATACAAAATGCTTTGATACAATACGTGCGACATTCATTCTCAGCCACTTATTCTGTTTTGACTTTTCTACTTTGACTTGTAACCTGTTGGACTAGTTAAATGTTCCTACACCAACCAATTGTAGTAGCAGGTTTATAGGATAGGCCCAGTCGGTATCAGTCTTCAACTTGTTTTAACTTTTAGCCCATTAATAGCTCCAATCCCGAAATTTCGAATTTCGCATGGATTTCGTACCAAAGCAGTTCGTACCGAAGAATGACTCTTATTAGAACTAGTATTTCATATCCCAAGTAGTGAGTTGGCTTGGTAACACCCCTCTCTCAAAATGGAAAGGTTGTGTGTTCGAGACATATCAGCGACTGACTGTTAATATAAAGTTTCACTACGTATATATTATAAGGGGTAGGGGTCCCCTCAACCCCGCTTGCCTACCAAAAAATATAATAATAATGATTCTATACTTTCTAAGCCAATTGTATCTTTGTATAAGCCAATACTTGTTCCAAACTTGCCCTATACAACACATTGCTCTTTAGAGTTTCCAAATGATTCTTCCCCGTTAGTGAAATTCTTGAGTATAACTACATAAGAAAGATACAAATGACCATCAATGTCTAGATTGAGTGCAAGTTCATCACTTTTTTTCAAAGTTTTGCTGTCTCAAATACAACTATTAGCAATCACATTGTAGACGCCTACATGTCCATCTTGTTGCAAAGTCAGTTTGTACCAATACTTCTTAGCTTCCAAGTCGCTCGACACCAGACTATGTCTTCAATATTTGAATGGCAAGAATTGTATCAGTAGGATAAGAATCAAAACTCTGCCATAAAATTCCCATTATCTTGCATAACTGCATACTACACTGTTTTATCTACATTAAATAGTGTGTGCATGTCCTCCCATATACTTATGAACAAATGTCATCTTTTTTGTGAATTGCCATATAAATTATGTGCACATTATATTAAGTTGCCAATTATTATAATAATATCCATCAAAATGCTGCTTCATAAAACACTGACTGTATGATTTATAAATTTTCTGCAGGATTTAGAGTTTGGACTATGGTTTTGTTCTTTCATTTAATCTTAGTTCAACCAATTTCTAAAACAATATTCATAAATATATTCGATTACATAGCCAGCACAATTGATCTGACAATAATAATATATGTCAAATATGAAAGAAAAACAGAATCAAAGTCCATTTCTCCTAAGCAAAATTGGACAAATATTTATATATTCGGAGAATTTTGAGAAGAAACAAGTATAGTTTACTTCATCTTCACTCGATCCTCCACATATACACAAAAATTTCATAAAAAAATAATAATAATATTTGAATAAAAATTCAATTTTGATAAAATAAATAACCAACAA